TGTTAGTGGTTACCAGGGGTAAGAGGTAAAGGGAAAGGAGGAGTCATTGCTTAAGGGCCACTGAGCTTCTGTTAATGGTGGTAGAATACTTCGGAAAAGGATAGTGGTGATGGTGGCACAACATGATGAACGTAATCAATGTCACAGAATTATACATGTAAAAATTGTTGAATTAGAAAATGTTTTGTTATGTATATATTTGCCACAATAAAAAAAAAAGAGAAAGGGGGAAATGGGCTTCATTAAACTTCTCTCTTTGGGTTTCAGTTTCTTCATGTGTAAGACGAATGAGTTGTGCTAGATGGGCTCTAAGATCCCTTGTTGTTGTTGTTGTTGTTAGGTGCCCTGAAGTCGGTTCTGATTCATAGTGACTTTGTGTACAACAGAATGAAACACTGCCCAGTCCTGCGCCATCCTCACAATCGTTACATTATAATTCTTTCTACTTAGTTCCAGCTTGATCTTGAGAAAAATCTGTCTTTTTTGGTCCACTAGAGTCCCTTTGGACACCTTGAGTCATTAAGGAATCCTTATGGAGGATTTCAGGAACTATTTCCAAAGTAACAACTTTGAGAGAGCATTCAGTTTGCATCAGTAATGCAAGTGTATTGTAAGTACATAAGATACATATTTAGCAGAGCAATCAGAGTGGTGTTATTAGAAGAACATTTATTAGAAGACAGGAGTTCAGGGTTTGAACACCCAGTTGGCCACTGTTAGCTAAGTGACCCTCTGTAAGTTATTTTAGTTTCCTCATCTGTGAAAAGATGATGACAATGGCCACCATAAGTGGCCTCACCTCCTTTTGCTAGCTGATAGATTTTAGGGGAGATAAGCCCACTTCCATATAACCCTTGCAATGTGAGGACAACCAGGATTGGCTTTCTCAGTCATTTTTAAGTAAGAATTATAAGAAAAATTTTAAGGATATGTACATCAGAGCTTCCAAATAGGTGGGCCACAGTACCCTGGGGTGCTCTGGGAAGGTTATGGGTATAGAGACATATTGATCTCCTTCTGCTCAGCCCTAAATAAGTCAGGTGGGGACTGGAAAGCAGTCAAAGCTCTCAGAGCAGACTATTCACTCACCTCACTGTGCAATATTATCATTTCTATGTGTGCTATAATATGAAAAGATTTGGGAAAGATTGCTGTTGACTATTATGTACCATGCAAATATTAACTGATCTTATTTCGTTTTGAAGGTTTCCTTTGCAAAGACACTTATGTCTATCTATGGTTAAAAACAGAAGTATGTCTGCTGCCCTATACTTAATACAAAGACGATGGTAATTAAAAGTAGGACTTGTTCTTTAGATGTTTTAATTTATGTAGCTCCTTCCTAGAGTATTGAGAATAAGCTGTTTATTTATCTGTCTCCCTCCATAAGAAGATGGAAATGTATTTATTGTGGTCATGTCACTATCCCAACTTCTTAGCATGGTGCCTAGCGCATGGTAGGCACCCAATATATATGTGTTAAATAAATGAACAGTTGTACAAACCAATGAATGAATTTGCATTGAACCATACAGCATGCCCCAACCCATCTATAACCCATGGCAGACAACTGAAATTTAGAAAGTTGTGGCAAGAAAAATAGGATTCAAACTAGACCTCATTAACGCTGGGCTTTTACCAACTGAGGTAACAAATTACATCAATGAGTGCTTTACTGTAAAATGTGTATTTGTGTTCGTTGCTGATGTCCTATTGAAGTTAGGCAGGTGTCTGGCTTAGAAATAGGATAAAAGGACTCTAAACTCTTATGGGTGCTCAGTGAAAAATGAGGATGTTACAGTGTTTTTCTTAGGTCAACACAGAAAAGAATCTTTATCTCTCATTTCTAAAATGTTTCTAAAAATACTATCATGATTGAATATTCTGCTATAATATCTAACGCCCCCTTTGTACAGTGTCAGGAGGAACTGTTAAAAGTGTAGCCCCTCTCCTCACCTCCTTTGGCTAACTGATGGAATTCAGATAGAGGAGGAACAGTTCCCTTCCTCACATCCCTTGCATTCCAAGGACCAACAGAATTGGCTTACTCAGCCATCTTTATGAACATGTCCCATGCCACCTGATCCAGCCGTACCTTTCTATCCAGCAGTGACTACACACAGGCATGGAATGACAGTCGTCAGAGGCCTACCATAACATTTTTCAGACAGGATGTAAAACCCAAAACAGGTGAGACAGATACAAAATTACTAAAGAGGAAGTAAACGGCAGAGATGGATGGAAGTCAGTCAAAGATTACATAAATTTGAAAAGATTACTGGAAAAAGGATCATGCAATACACATACTTTCCACTGTGAAAACACTAGATATAAACCATTATACATTTCTACCTTTCCGTGTGCACCAGAATGAACTCTGAGCAAGTGTGTACTCCCCCTTGCATTGTGGAACCATAGCAAAATCACTGGTAGAGAAGGCCCAGGCTGCAAAGTGGGCATGGCAGATGATCATCTATTGACTGGAAAAGAAAATATTCTACCAATACATCAATATTTTTTTTTTCCAGGGATTTATCTCAAACTTTGTATGAGAAGTGAGAATTAGCAAAGCATTTGTGAGCTTCAGGGGTTCTTTAACTTTTGGTTCTCTTTACTTATCATGATCTATTAGTATGATGTAGTGACTAAGAGTGTGGGCCCAGTAGCCAAACTGCTAATGTTTGAATCACTTACTAACTGTGTGACTTGTGCTCAGTTGCTTAACTTCTCTGAGTCTCTAGTCACTTCTATAAAATGGAAATAATAATAATACCCACCTCATATGGTAGTTCTAATGATTGATTTAACTCTCCAAGCACTTAAAACAGAGACTGGTATATAGTAAGTACCCAATAAATGTTAGTTACTGTCATGATTATTACTTATCAGTTGTAAACTGTTATAGAAATATTAATTATTATTATTCAGGCAGAGCTGGAAAACCCTTTTGCTGCACTGCTGTTGGTCCATTTCAAGAAAGAATGAGGGTTAGTATTTCCCCAGGGATAAACTGCTTTGGTATATAATGATGACAGTGATGTCTAGAGATGTCAGGAGAGAATAAGAAAGAATTTACCAGAAAGATAAGATGAGATAGTAGAAGGAACACTGTAAGAGGAGGCTCATGAGCTGGATTTTACCCCTCCCTTCTAACTCTTTGGTAGGTTGACTTGCCCTTTCTGATCCTTAGTTTTCTCAACTATAAATTGAAATAAAACCCCCTTACTCTGACTTTTGTGTGGCTCCTCTATTCCAGTGCTGCATCTTAAAGAAGTGTCTGGGATCATGGCTGGGTTTAGCACACTGCAGGGGAGGATAGTGATTAAGAAAACGGACTCTAGAGTCAGGCTATCTTGAATTCAAAACCTGGCTTTACTGGCTGTGAGACTTCGGACAATTTTCTAAGTTTTTCTAAGCCTCAGTTTTTTCACCGTCAAATAAGGATAACAGCACCCATCTCTCAGAGTTACACTGAGACTTACATGAGATAAAGTATAGAACAAACTTCAGCACAGTGAACGGCACATAGCAATTCCTTAATAAATACTAATGAGGTTGATGATAGCATGAAGGGTCCCACTAAATTAAATTATGCATATCCTGTGTTTGTGCATAATGAACATCCTGCCCCTTTTTTGTCACAATATTGTCTTCGTTAAGAAAAAAAAGGGGGGAGGGGCCAATTCACCTAGAGATTTGGATGTCTTAGTTCAGAATATGCCTTTGGTGGCTATTGGCGAATTTCCCCTAAGTGTGGAGATGGAGAGGCTTCCAGATTGGAAAAAGCACACGACAGCTGTGGGAGTTATAGATTAGACTTCCCTGGGAACCGTGGTTCGGTCAGGTCCTATACAAGTAACCTGCTCCACCTTTTCTGACAGGTGTTCGTGTCCAACAATGCACACAGCACCTGTGCAGAAAGCCTCCTTGGTCACCTCCGGCCATCACGTATAAAACTGTACAGCTGTGGCTCAAAACTGCCAGGCAGGTGCTCCTATAGGACCATGAGGCTCCAGGGTAGCAGCCAGAATATCATAGCTGGAAGGTTTGTGTTTATTCTCTGTTTCCTTGCCTAGATCCATTGTCCACCCTTTTCTGCCCTCCCCTATCCCAGGGAAGCTGAACACTATTGATTTCTATCATCTGGTCTTTTTTTGCCTCTGGCTTCTGTTTGAGTTTGACCAAAGGGTTGAGGGGAGGCACGAGCAGGAGATTGGAAGGCAACAGTTAAGATGGGTTAGGGTATCTATCCCACCCACTCTCTCCCTATCTTCCAGAGTTCAATGGTAGTTTTTTTCCTCTAAGGCCATCGTTCTTGACAGCACCCTGCTCTTGACAGGCCACCTTCACTCTTGCCAGGTTCCAGGGACACTGCTCCTTCCCCTGCCACTGCAGGTCTAGGGCTGCTAACTAACACCTCCCTTGTTGGTTCCCTTAACCCTGCTCATGCCTCTGTAATTAGTCCCTTAATGCAACTCTCTTCTGTTCAACCTTTGAATGGGGCTTATTTCCAGCTAAAATTAACCTAAGCAGTGTTCACATATCCTGCACTGGGCCCATTTCTCTCCTCTACATTTACTGCAGTGGCTCTCACAGCACAGATCACCGTAACGGTTGTCATTCTTTGCAAGTACTACTACTTGTAATGGTAGGTCTCCATTCCTATCAGTAAATGATAATTTTACATCCCCAAATTATTTCTCTCATGTCTTATGTAAATCTTCACCCTTCTTCCCATTTGTTCTCATGAGTTGGGGTGGAGGGAGATTTTATTTATTTTTAGCAGTTGGATTAGGCGGGATTGCTTCTGACACCTGCTGATGGAAATGCATGAAAACCAGTGGTATACAGAAGTCAAAGCTCTGAATGATTTAGTTGTGGATCTGTTGATTCTTTTGAATGAAATTTCTAATAGAAAAAACTAGAAATAAGACCTCCCTCTTTCCCTATCCCCCAAGTATTGACTGAGGGAAAAAAATGATTTGACAGCATGCAGTTACCTTGTACCACACAACGTCAGGCTCCTGATTGGACTTTTTAAAATCATCCATGTCTGGGCAGGAGATCTCCTTTCTTTTAGTGACTTCGGATTTTTCTAAATAGCGGATCCTGCTATTGTAGCACAGGCCTGATTCATATTCTGCCACAGTCAAGGACATTGACACCTTCATGCAATATGTTGAGTTTCTGTAGGAACAGAGAAATAGTAAAATGGCTTTGCTGGATGTTTACAACATGGTTTGCATTCTATATATTTCAAGAGTATTGAGTTTACCATTTGGGACCTTGCCTAGAAATCAGAAACAACATCAAAACAACATAGAGCCGTTTTCTACTTCAACTAGCAGGAAGATACGAAACAAAATGCTAATGTGGACATCTCTGGCCATGCAATAACCACATAGAGCAGCTATATCCATCTCTGGACTCTACGACGGTCAGCCTTCTTTCCTCATAGTACATATTGCTACGTTGATAATCTGGTAGTAAAAACCTGTGAGAAAGTCTCTCTATAACCAGGGCTATAGCTACTGCTGTTCTGCCCCTGTGGCCAGTCCCTTACTGGGTATTCCAGGGGTTGTTTCATTTTGTCATTGGTTTCTAAGCCAACATTTCCTTTTATAGGCTACATCACTAAAAACCAAACCAACATGTCAATGATATCTATTAACTTACAAATCTTTTTAAGGTGCTTAATGAGATGTCCCAGAGGTCAAATCTGGGCTCCTATAAAGAACAAATCCTAGTAGAGTGTAGTCAGTCTAGATTAATTTTATCCACCAACACTAACATTATAAAAGAATTTCAGCACTGAATTTTACTGTAAGGCCACTTCAGAAATTGAGCATTGATTGGTTAACTCACTACCTAATGGTATTTATGAAATGAAATTCTACCCTCATCTCTCTATGTACTCCATGATTTTTCCCTATTCTACCCTATCATACCCTATCCTACTTGGTCTTAACCTGCCCTACCATATATGGACTCCAGATGATATCAACCAGTCAAAAATTTGGAAAGTGTGGAGAAGAGATAAGAAGCATCTTGGTAGGAGTGGCAATACTAATCTCAGATAAAATAGACTTTAAAACAAAATCTACCATAAAAGACAAAGAAGGAAACTATATAATGATTAAGGGGACGATCCATCATGAAGA